TTCCATCTTAGTTTTACACTTCATCTTTGTGTTTGGCACTGCTGAAGCATGAACAAGTTGTCTATTTTGAACAAGTTGTTTCCAAACTATTTTAATAGTTTAGTCATAAATTGTACCAAGGACCCTAAGTCCTGCTTTCACAAATCAGCAAGTTGCAAAAATCCACCCTAGAGAAGTAACATAAGGCTTAACATGTCATATTTGTGGATATTCAAGTGGGACTTGAGAACAGGAGGAGAATAAACTATCCCAGGACACTGACAGAGCTGTGGTACTTTGAGTTACTGTTAAGCAATATGTGACAGAAAAACATGCACAAATTGATACATATGATCTTATTGCAGAATTGGACCCTAATCCTAATTATTCCTTTATTAACCTAATCTTTGTACATGGTTAATCCCTTTCTGATGTTCTGACTATTTTATCTGCATGTATTCCTATGAATGGCCTGGACTGTTTTACATATGAATATACTTTAGACCAGATTATTTTTTTAATCCACGCAAATGCTCTTACCCAGAATAGATTAAAAAAAAAAAAGTTGTAACAGAGGTAGAACCACAGTTGCACTCAAATGTGTTACCTGCAAATCATGAGACAATTATTTTTCTTAAGATTGGAACAGGTGATTAACATCTGTAGTAAAGAGATCCACTAGTATCACGAGTAATTTCTGTATTTGCCCATCAGCCCCAAAGATAGCTTTCAAAATTTCAACCAGAAATTTTGTTCAGATAAATGGCAGCACAAGCACACAGTTCTGTGCAGAAACACTGGATTAAATTAACATGTTCAAATAATAATTTCTTTTAAAAATTACGAAAGCATGCAAGCACAGCTGTGGAATCTGACTTTGAGAAAAATGCCAGTGTTAAAAATATCTTAAGGGTGTTTTAAATTTCCTTTAGAACTAATTCTGAAAAAAATCGCTTGTAGAAATAAAAACATTTGCTTGCACATTTAGGCAAAAAAGAAGAAAATTACTGAGCCTTGTTTCTAGCAAACAAAGATTATTCTTTCTCTTTTCATCTTGGCTTTTACATACAACATTTTGAATTGAGGTTTGCATATACAGAATCCACAGAATCACAGAATATTCCGAGTTGGAAGGGACCCACAAGGATCACTGAGCTCAAATCCTAAGTGAATGGCCCATACAGGGATCAAACCCACAACCTTGGTGTTATTAGTATCATATCAACTGAGCTAATCTCAGTTATATAAGATGTAAAGAAACCTGTGAAGTAAAATAAACAAGCAAAAGCCTATCTGTGTATGTTGATGGGTGGAGAAACCCCCATTCCTTCCAGTTCTATGTATTTGAGAAGCTACTTTTATGATCAATAACCAGTATTCCACTTACAAAGGCAGCTCCATTTCTTCTGATACAACTCTTACGTGCTTTCCTGTGCATTCTCACGCACATGCCTGTGTGTATCAATGCACATACACATGAATTACAATGCTTTTATGAATGCAGAATCCAATGGTTCAAGGGAATTGGTGACAAGATGCAAGCCTTTCATATCTCTGCCATTATTTTGCTCATTTTAGTAATGAAAAGACATTAGTATCTGAAGGCTGTTTGTCAGAACTGAATAGGCTGTCTCATTCCAGGTCACTGGACAACTATCTGCATCACAAATGCGCTTAGGAACCGAAGACTGGAAGAGACTATTGGGATCCTGATGGACTGTCAAGTCCAACTCTCCCCATCACAGTCAACCATGCATTAGAAATTTTATTCAGAATAGCCCATGGTATATGCTTCCTGCATATCGTGCGTACCCAATCTACAAAACAACTGCAAAACTCTGTCTCTGAATGAAGACTCCCTAGAAACAAGGGAGAAGGTATCATTTGGGGAAGATGTAAAAAGTCATGAAATTGCAAACTTTCCTTCAAAAGAAATTACCTTCTGGAGTGACTGAACAGAACCCTTACAAAGTATTTCCTCTGTAAGGATAATTTGGCATGTGCACAGAGGACATACAGCTTAACTACTGTGATTTAAATATGCACTATTACAGTGTGTTAGATCTCACCCTCATTAAAGTATCTCTTGCAGATAAATATCTATGAGAAAACTCATATGGTGATTGGCTTGTGTGACTCACACTGCTTCAGGATCTGCTTCCAGAACATGTCAGCTCTAAAGACTGCTTAAAGACTGCTTAACCGCATAAGACACCTCAAAGTAAGCTGTCCCTGTTTGAGTCACACCCCTAAATGATGTCTTTTCAGATACTGGCTGAGACCTCTCAGAGAGACAAAGCCTGCAATACCTGTTCTGTGGATAAAAAGATCTTAAGTCTTCAGCGAGACCAACCCAGCTGATTCCCATGCAGTAATATAAGACGTATTTTAAACATATTTTTAATTACTGCTCCAGTATAGATGGAAGCACTCAGTTTAGTTTGTCAATAATTTCACCAACATTTATGCATACTCTGACACATAAATTATAAAAAAGAAACACAATCTAAGTTTGAGTTGTACTTGCAGTACAGCTGTAATTCAAATTAGTCATGTGTCTATCAAGCTAAAACCACTCCAGTCAACGTGTACAGATTTAGAAGCATTTTAGTTATTGCACTCTAAGAATGGTTTGCAATATTCTAGGGCTCTCAGCTAGAATGTAAATAAGGGATCAAACCTCAAAAAGAAGAAGTGCATGACTACATATTTACAGAACTGCTTTACCAAGAATTAAAAATAAATGTTAGATAGAACTATACGCAAACAATTTACTGCACTGTCTACCTCTGAACAAGTTGATTTTCTGGATGCAGAGATCTAATGACACTTTACATGCATACTAAATGTAGAATCATAGAATATTCTGAGTTGGAAGGGACCAACAGGGACCCACAGGGATCATCAAGTCCAGCTCCTGGCCCTGCACAGGACCATCCCCAAGAGTCATACCACGTGCCTGAGAGTATCATTGAAATGCTTCTTGAATTCTGTCAGGCTTGATGCTGTGACCACTTCCCTGGGAGCCTGTTCCAGTGCCCAACCACTCTCTGGGGTAACAACTTTTTTCTATATCCAACCTAAACCTCCCCTGACACAACTTCTGGCCGTTCCCTTGGGTCCTGTCACTGGTCACCACAGAGAAGAGATCAGTGCCTGCCCCTCCTTTTCCCCCCATGAGGAAGTTGCAGAGTGGGATGAGATCCTCCCTCGGTCTCCTCTTTTCCAGGCTGAACAAGCCAAATGACCTCATATAGCTGCCTCAGCAGGCCCTTCACCAAATGCAGAACAAGTAAAACATAAATGGAATTAAAACATTATTGAAAATTTAAAAATGGCTAAATAGGAGAGGCAAGAGGCAAAAGCAGGTGTAGCACAGGAACACATATTTGTGATATATATGTTTATTGAGCTTCCTGGCTATAAATTTATTGTACAAAAACATGCAGCAAATGAAGACCACTCCCATAATCAGAATTTTTGGTCTTCCTACTTTTGTTCTGTGGACAGGGCTTTAACAAATGTCATATGAAACATTATTTATCTGTAGAAGTAATCTTTGTATTCTAGAGCTTGTTACTGTGCACATTCTTCCAAGGATGAAACAAGCATGACTGTGCAAGTTTAAAATAAAACACTGTGTTGAACTTCAGGATCAGGGATTTTACAAAAGCAACCTTATTAGCCTAGGGAAGTCAAGGGAGGAAGCAAAGAGTAAAAAAGTTTTCCTTTGCTGTTGAGTTGTCAAAATGCTGGCCGAATATAGTAATGGAATCAAACTGCAGTAACTCCCACATACTCAGGAATGAGGAATGTCCCATACAATTTGAGCTAAACAAAAGGTTACAGTAGTTATGAGCTAAGTCATAATTTTTAAGAATGATTAGGTACTGTAGTAGACAAAAGAAATAAGCTGAGGTGGAAAGGAGTCGGATTTAGATTGCCTAATCCATATGGAATCAGGAAGACTGTACAATGACATTTTAGTAGGAAATGATTTAATGGAGAAGAAAGGAAGGACTGGATGAACTAACTGAAATATCAGTACACACCTGAGGAGAAATTAGTAAACAAAGGAAACACCAGTACTGAGACAAGGAGTATTTTTTTTCAGTAATTAACAGAATTCCAGCTCTATCAAGAATGGGCCTTGTTTAGGAAACCATCCATTTTTTTACTTAATGAGCAGAGCATGCAAATACTTTGAAGAGAGGCAAAACCGAAGGGCTACCTTAACTTACAATGGGTGACCTATGGATCATTTCAAATAGGATGTGACAATAATTTGTAAATACTGCATTTCAGAGTAGGATTATGCAATTGAGGTAATTTCACCATATCCAAAATACAGCATCAAGCACTGCATTGCTATCACTGACAAAACTGAGCCAGACAAAACAGACCAGTAATTACTTGCAAAACCTTCGTCACGTGGAAAAGACTTTTGAATAGCAAATATGGTGCACTCTTCCTTCCCATCCAGGGTGGAATACATTACACACAACACGACTGAGGTATCACCAAGATGATCCTCTGGTCAGTAACCAGCTTCCTGAAACACACCGTTAATTCAATAAATCTATTCTAAAACCACCTCTTTGCAGAGCAAACTCAACGCACCATTAAACAGCGCCGAGTCTCAAAAACTTTTAAGTTTTTGACCTAAAGCTGGCTGCGCGCCGCTTCGGGACCCAGGCCCCGGCCCAGCCGCACTGCCGCCGACTCTTCCGAGGCCGTTCGGCGCTCCCGAGGCGCGGAGAGAACTGATCCCCGCCGCCGCTCCCCTCTGGCACCCGGGGCGGGCGGGACCCACCAGTCCCGGCACCGACCGACGGGCGAGGCGACCCCGCGGCGGGAAGGCGCTCCCGCTGCCGGGCCCGGCCCCGGCCCGGCCCGCTCCCCCAGCCCGGCGCTCACCTCGCTCCGCGCAGGCGCCCCGGCCGCGGGAGGCGGTGGCGGGGCCGGGCCGCGCTTCCCGGCAGGCGCCGCTCTCTGCCCGCCCGGCGGGGGGAGGAGGGAGGGCCGCGGGGCTGTAATGGCGGCTGGCGGCGGCTCCGCGCTGCGCTGACACCCGCACCCGCTCGGCGCTGCCCCCCCGCCCGGCCCGCCCCCTCCTCCCCGCCCCAGCCAGCGCCGCTCGCCCCCTCCCCGGCCCCTGCTCCCGGCCCCCGCCGCGGGACGAGGAGGAGGGCTCCCCGCAGACAATGGACGAGCACCCTGGAGCCGGAGGAGGCGGTGGGATGGCGGCCGCCCCGAGACCGCAGCAGCCGCCGCTGCAGGCGGGAGGCAACATGAACCTGCAGTCGGGTGGGGGCTGCGTGGGGGCCGGAGCCGGAGGAGGGCAACAGCCGCAGCCCCAGGGCCCCGCGGCCCCAGCAGGGCAGGAGGCGGCGGGCCCCGCCGAGCTGTCCCGGCCCCAGCACTACACCATCCCGGGGATCCTGCACTACATCCAGCACGAGTGGGCTCGCTTCGAGATGGAGAGGGCGCACTGGGAGGTGGAGCGGGCCGAGCTCCAGGTACGGGGAGCGCGGGCGGGCTGGGACAGGCCCGCGGGGCTACGGGGGCCGGGCCTCGCGCGGGGTGCGGGGGCAGCGCTGCCCAGGCCGGCCGGGCCTGCGGGGCCCTCGGGGCCGGGCCGGTGGTCGTGGCCAGGGGACGGTTCCCGGGCGAGGTCCGGCGGGCGGTGCCGGCGGAGGCCCGGGCCGGGCTTCCTCCCCGGGGCAGCCATTTTGGTTTGTAGCATGGCGCCCGCCCGCTCCGGAGCGGCCCCGGCCCCGCAGGCCGCTCGCCCGCACCCGCCGTGCGGGGCCCGCGGCGCGGCCCGGGAGGGGCGGGCGGACGCTGTCGCGGCAAGGGGCTGTGACCCTCCTCACTCTCCTCGCCAGCGGGGCGAGCTGGGCTGAGCCGTGACAGCTGCGATGGGCTCCTGCAGCACAATGACTCCGGGGCTCCCCAGCCCTGCGCGGGTCGCGGACAGCAAGAGCCGCCGGGCCTGCGAGCGAGGGCTGGCGTCTCCCTGGAGCTCAGCCAGCGGCTGCTGTGGAGGGAAAAGAGGGAGTTGGGAAGGGGCAGGAATGTCTACCTCCTGAGCAGGGGGAGGACGAGGAAAGGGAGTTCAGGTAAATCTCAAGTAAAGGATTTGGACAGGCAGTCTAATTTGAGATAGGTCGAGTGTGTGTTCTCACTTTCTTTCGGACTCGTTTCTTTGGAGATTTCGTATCAGAGAAGAGTGAAGAGTGAATAAGTCTGCAATGTGGTCATTTCATTATACGGAAAACTACAAACTTATCTCAGGAGCAGAAATTGAATAACTCCTCAAGGTAGAGAGCAAGTGTTGGAGTTGCAGCATGCATCTCTTGCCACCAATGTTTGCTTTTAGTAATAAAAAGGATAACTCTACTAATTACTTTTGCACGTAAAAATAAAATCATGTATAGACTATTACAAATTTATGAACAGATTACAAAATCTACTGAATGTGAAGTATTGGTATAGGAGTGGTTATCCTTTTATAGGACAGAGATGTACATGATAACAATGTTAAAAAATGTTAACAAACTTTATTGCTTCCAAAGAATTTTTTGTACTAAGTGAATATATACTATCTTGAATTGGCATTCCATCAAATTGTAGTCTAATTAGAGTTTTTAATAACCTGCTGCAACAGCAGCGAAGTTTGCAAGGCATTTACTTTCAGAACCGAGAACTATACCTGAGCCTAGGCAGTTCTTTCAGAGCTTCTTGTCTCTATAATAAGCATGTAACTTGTGCTATTTTTGTTGCAACTATAATTAAGAAAGAATTTTTAAAAACCACCAAGGGAAACAGATGAAGAGGTTTCACTGTTTCCGTTGCTTACTGCCAGTTTTACCATTTTAAACCTTGTGGAATGGCTGGTTTTAAAATCAGTGTGGTGGACACTGGTGAGAGTTTTTAGCAGAGGGTAATTGGCTATTTCATCTGTTTTCTCCAGCGTCTTAATTCTAAGCACAGTGCTGTATTACTAAGTTACTTAGTGCTATCTGTTAGCAAACCATCTCAAAATTTTTAAGTATGGGCTTGTTACTTCAAAACCAAGTACTACATTCTGTACCCTGTTGTGGAGCGCAGTTTGGAGACTTTGCAAATTATGTCTGACTGAAAAAGCACTGCTGTGAACTCATGTGGCCTCTAGACTCCCTGATGCACTCTTGCCAAGTCTGCTGCGTTTTGTTTGTGGTTGCTGTTTGTCATCCATTACCGCATTGTTTCGGTTGCTTTTTTCTGGAGGTATGGTACTAGTTCTGACCCTGATTGCATACATGTTGATTCACACATGTGTGCATAAGGCCAGAGACAGCATAGTTTAGTTGCTGCACGCTGTGGCTGCATGAGGGAGGGTTTTTTAATAACTTCAGAAACCCAGGATAGAAGGGAAGGAAGGCATTACCTTTGGATTTTAAATATCAAATTTACAGTGGTGAAGACTGATACAGGCATGTGTTGAGAATATTTTTGGAAGATAGGTGTTTATCGGGCTTGTTGGGTTTATTGTTGTTCTACAACTCAAGATGTAAAGTCACAGTATATTTTGTGGCTAATAAAACTTAAATAGTTTGGACCCCAGACAACAATTTTGTCCACTGAAACTGGTGAGAGTATTGTTCATTTGTGTGATGCTATGTACCAGTGTGAGGATTTTGATGATTGAGGGCTCCTGGGTTGAAAGGAAAACAGTATGTCCATAACATGACAGTAGATAGTTTATATGGAAGTGAGTGTTTGATGATTTAGTTGCAGCCCTCCTGATGCAGGTAATTTCCTTGTTCTTATTTCTTCATTCTTTCAGCATGATGGTAAACTCTGTAAAAATTGTTTCTCAGTGTTGGCAGTTACAAATTCTTTATAACTTTGCAAACAATGCACTTAGGGCCATGGTCTAGTCACCATGGCGGTGTTGGATCAAGGGTTGGACTTGATCTCAGAGGTCTTTTCCAACTCAGTTGATTCTATGATTCTGTAAAAACTATGTGGAAAACCAAGTGCCTTAGCAATATGTGTGATTTTATTTACCTGTTCTGAATTTATGACTTTATTATTCCGAAGAATAAGATACTTTCTTATCTGCGGTATGAAATTAATGCGACTCCTATGATTTACCCACCTACCCCCTTTCTTCTCCTGTATGGTTAAAGTGAGTGGAAGAATTGCCCACCTCTTGTAAGAGTGCTCTTTGCATACAGGGGGGATGGTGCAGGGAGAGATGGATCTTGTAATAAACTTTTTTCTTTTGTTCTACCTGTCTGTGGGACACATTTTTATAAATAATTTAAAACTGCATATTACCTTACTGTGTTGATACCACAGCTGTAATGACTAACAGAGGGTCTCGAGCCTTTGAGTCTGAAGTCCTATACTGGTTAGACTTAAGTCTACATTTACATCAGACTTTGAATCTAAAATGTTAATAATTTCACACTGTCTTTCCAACTCTTCAGGTGCATGGCTATTCTGTTTGTGTGCAGAAGAGAAGGAGCAGCAGCATGGGACAGATCTGTGTGTGCAAACCAATATCAAATATAGAAATGTCAAATATCAGGCGTGCAGTACTTGAAACATAGTAAATTTTTTTTCCTTTCACTTGTAACATTGCCTGCTGCAGTAACTTTCTAAGCATATACTCACAACTGTGTAGAAAATACGTAGTCTGGCATCGCATTGATCTGTTCCCTTTGTGGTGAACTAAAAGAAAGATTTTTACTGTAGCAATGTTGTGTAATTGTAACTTTAAGCTGTCAGTCTATTGACCTTGATGTTTATAGCGGTTAAACTGAGCTACATTATCTTTTCTAAGACATTTATGCACTTAAGAGGAATTACAGCAAGTCCGTATTGTTGAATGTTACATATTTGTTAGAAGTAATTATTTGCTCTAGGTGGTAAGTGGCTCCGTAGTCTCTTAAAAGAAAAAGAAACATGGATGCAAACCACAGTGGAGTTACAGAAACATTTGAAGAAAGATAAAGTTGTGTCAAAAAGGTGTATCATAGGAAAGGTTGCAACTTTGTGGTGAAAATCGAGAGAGATCCACTTGCCTGTGAGGCTTATAGTCTGATAATACTTGGCTGAAATAAAGTTCTCAATTGTGCAGTTTCTTCAGGTTTTGTGAACTAGATAGAAGTGAGATGGAGTACTCTTTGGTACTTCAAAATCACACACGAATATGCTGGGAGAGAATTATCAGTAGATGCTACTTCCAAATGCTCTAATGAATAGAAGGAATAATTAAGAAACATAAACACTCAGAACAGAATACATGCAATTTCAGTTTGAACGTTATGCAGCCTCTTAAGTAACTTCAATGTGCATAAAGATTGATGTGATTGTTAATACATTTTCTGTCCTGACGTCTTTGGTGACACACATCTGAAGTTCCTGGTTTATCAAATTATACAAATGCTCTTTTTCCCAACTGTTTAGTGACATTATGGGAAAGTTTTGTCATCTAACATTTTGTATTTTTTATGTAAGTATTTAAAAAAACCAAACCACCAAAACCCATAGATTTCAGATTTTAGTTGCATGCCTCCCCTTTTCCCTTTTTGCTGGAGGGTGCGGAACAGGCTCATTAAAGGAATTTTATACAGGATATTCTTTTTTTAAAAAAGTGTATCTTCAGATAACATGTAAAAGTGTTGATATCATGAACTAAATTGAGACCATGTTTAGAGTATATATATATGGTTATGCTGTATTTCGGCATTTTTCAATGCTTCAGTGTTTATAAAGTGTAGCAAGAATCAATTGCTGAAATCTTTGGCTGTATGTGGCTTGTTTTACTTTGTTGCAGGTTTTAAGGGGAGATGGAGATAATGTGGGAATGTTTCTCTCAAACTTGGAGGAACAATTACTGCTTCTCATAGCGTAGACTTTGCCTTGCTTTTGGCAAGCAGATAATTTGTTTTGATGGTAGATTGCAAGTAGAAGTGGTTATGAGGGTTGTAGAATGCTTATTAGTTTGTTGGAAAGAATAAGTACGTCTCAGCAGCTAGGGAGCATTAATTAAAAATAAGTATTTAAAAAAACCCCATCTTTCCAAGAATTAGTGGAATTTTATGCAAGGGGCTGTTGTAATTGCTAAAGTGTTCTTGGGTCAAAAAGTGCTTGCATAAGTTCTTGGAAGAAAATTTCCTGCGTGTATCTAAATTCAAAGATACTGTCTTTTTGATTTACAAATTTTTGGAGATTTGGAATGTTTTCTGAGATTTATTCTTTTGTTTTTGTGTTATTCCTGTGGCATTGGCTGCCCAATCTCAGAAGTGGCATACTGAGATTGGTGGTCTGATGGTCTGACCAGGCAAGCTGTTCTGATATTCTCATGACCAATGAGATACCTTTGAAATGTAATCATAGAATGGTTTGGGTTTGAAGGGACCTTAAAGATGATCCAGTTCCAACCTCCCTGCCATGGGCAGGAAATGCTTCGGTTTGATTGTTCGAGAGTATACTTAGTGCTATTTTTATACTATCTTGCTTA